AACTATATATATATATATATATATATATATATATATATATGAGATAAATCACGTGATTTTCTTCCTCCGCAGGCATCATGGTGCGCATGAACGTTCTCGCCGATGCGCTGAAAAGCATCAACAATGCAGAGAAACGGGGGAAACGCCAGGTTCTCATCAGGCCCTGCTCTAAAGTCATAGTGCGCTTTCTTACTGTGATGATGAAGCATGGTGAGTGAGTTCCTGAGCTTTTCAGTGTGCGAGTTTGACAAGAATCTGTTTATTCTACTCTTGTGTTATGAAAAACACTTCTTAAATGGATATTTCATCCAATGTTGTTCCAAACCTATACAGTTGACTTCTGTTGAACCTGAAAGAAGACATTTTCAATCTCTTTGTGTGGTCTTTGCAGGTTACATTGGCGAATTTGAGATCATTGATGATCACAGAGCCGGGAAAATTGTAGTCAATCTAACAGGGAGGCTGAACAAGGTAAGTGGTTTAATAAACTTAGATGTTCACAATAAATGTCTAAAATTACACCAGAAAGTATGAGAGACTTGTACGGTGTTGTGCAGTTAGTGACAGCTAAAGAGCTTTCTTAGCCGGATAGATCATAATCTACTATATTTGCAATATAGATCAACCTGGAGTGCCTTTTTGCTTTTATGAAGTAGTTACTGTGGGATGAAAATATTAAGTACATTATAAAACTATTGTTGTATTACTAGTATATTGAATAGGGGTGGGAATCTTAAAGTGCATATTGCAGGTTAGAGACCCAGTGGGTCAATGTATAGAAAAATAATGTATCTAGAACTAGATTTTGTTTAAAATATACTTATAAATTCGCTACTTGAGGCTTCTGGAGTTGTTTTTGAGAGAATTTTACTTGCATCTGAAAATCGCCGACACCGGAAGTGACGTAAAGGTAGGGAGTGCGGTCAATTTGCGTTAAATATCGCATGCGATTAATCGTGCAGCCCTAATTTAAACAATAGGAAAACAATGGATTCACACTAATGCACAGATCTGTTTTAACATATCAGATGTTTTGTCCTCTACTTAAAATTAAACTGACTGTGTTTACATTAATTTTGCATCATAAAAGCATTTTAAGATGCAAGTGCATTTAACTTGGAGTTACGCACAGCTGCATGCTCTTTGGAACGAATGCACACAAATCGCATGTGAGCGTTTGAAAGCAGCCGTCTGGCATTGAGCTTTGTGTGTCCAATATGTACGGCATTCCAAATGGCGTAAATGATGCATGATTTTGGGAAAATATTGAAATACCAAACTAATTAATTTCTCTCAGTGCATATCCGATGCAACAAAGCCTGTGATTGCCCGCTTCAACCATGACACGTTATACACTTAATGGATGTTGTGTGTGTTTGTGTAATTGGCAGCAAGCAGAATACTGTCTCTAGCGCACACCATTGTACATATGAGAAGAAAATAAGCTCAGAACTGTTAAAGAGAAAATCGCAATGCATTGAAGAATCTTGTTTTTCTCCCACCCCTAATATTTAAGCAGTAAGGTAGGAGATATTGTGATTGTAGTCTCAGCTGACAGACATTTGTTAGGCACAGCTGGTTTTAAAGGAGTCATTTTCATAAATGACAAGCCTTGTTGAATTGGTCCTACAGGTTTTGTATCATATAAATGAGTTCCAATTGAACACATTTATTCATTTAGCAGGTGCTTTTATCCAAAGCAGCTTAAAAAATGAGTAATACAACATGCAGTTCATCAGACGGGGACAGTAATACGAGAAGTGCTAGCAATACAAAGTTTCAAACATTGTCCAGAATAGTAAAAGCTAGAAAATGGTGGGATACAGGTGCACTCTGTCTTTGACTACTGATATTATATGTGCATCAAGCACTCAAACCGTTCTCTGAACAATTTATCTGTGATGCAGTGTGGCGTCATCAGCCCACGGTTCGATTTGCAGTTGAAGGATCTGGAGAAGTGGCAGAACAACCTTCTCCCATCCAGACAGTTCGGGTGAGTAATTGCCAGTGTCTACCAGAAATGTTTTAAACACCGTTTTATGAACATTTTGCTATTTTTGTACTGTATTTACTAGGGATGCGCCGATCCGATATTCATATCGGGTATCGGCTCCGATAGTGCCATTTTTCTCGGATCGGGTATCAGTCAGAGAGGGCCGATCCAAATCCGAGATTTTTAGTTTTTTTTTTCCCGATTGTGCATATTATTCTGTGTTACTTCTGAAGCCATACTATAGCTTTATTGTTTATTTGACTTTTCTTTATAATTAAGTAGTCTGTATCTCGTAGATTGTGAAAGAATGATTATCAGTTCCACACACAGAGATATATAAATTCTACATTTATTTAATTGAGGGAAAAAAACTTCACTGGTATCGGAATCGGTATCGGTAACAAAATGTTATGTTTATATATTAAATATATTTATATATATAATATAAAATATAAGAATATAAATGTATATACATGTAAATATTTTCAAAATATATACTGTATGTGTGTATTTATATATACATAATAAATATACACAGTACACACACATACATTATGTAAATAAAAACTTTTATTTTGGATGCGATTAATCATTTGACAGCACTAGTAAATTTGTTTGTCAGGTGTCAGAGATTTTTTTTTTAACATCAGCTGCACACTCAGTAATGCTTGAATATAGATATCTGACAGCTACAACTTATTATGGTTTCTGCAGAAATGCTAAACCCAAATCTTTATAGGCTTAACAAAAGGGTAGATGAATAAAAATATTAAGTATGTTTAGCGTTCCCAAATGAATGAGGTCAACAGCATGTGCAGTGCTTTATGGGAGAAGGCAGAAGCTGCTCAATGCTTTTGCCATGATTGTGTTTTTTTTCCCTTCTCCCCATTGTGGGTGGTGTAATTTTTCCACAAAGAAAACATAGCCTAGAAATTGTATATGGAGCACAGTAACCTAGTATCAGTGGCTCTTTGACCTTCATTTATTGTAACTGCAATGTCTTATCAGAGATTTAAG